AGAGCTAGACAGCATATTACGTAAGACAGCAAAATATAGAGAGCAAAATATTGGAAAAAGCAGAAGAGACATCACAGAATAACATTGAGTCTCTGTCTAGTGAATTTGACAACAGAAATAAAACAGCAAGATGAATGAAGGCAAATTTACGTGTCCCAGGATAATATGGCAGGATCCTGTCTGAGTCAATCACCGGGACCAGAAGTTTAGTCTTTCAAGCTTTCAGACTCATGCTGGAGCCCATCCTCAAAGAACTTCTCTCTCAACCAGAATATGTAATCACACAATTTGTTGAGAGAGACGTTCCCTGAGGATGGGCTTCAGCACAAATCCAAAAGTTTGGAAGATTAAACCTCTGGTCCCCCTGCCTGACCCAGATAAGATCCTGCAAAACAGCAAAGCATAAAGATTTGTCTCAAAATTATGGAAATATTTAAGACACTTTTATTTTCTAATTTTTATCTAGAATTTTGAGCAGTATTTGACACAATCTTACACCAAAACTTTGTTAACAGCCATTCCAGTGGGGGTTTTGTTTTGGTTTTTTGTCATCTGTTCATCCATGGGATCAGTGAGGCTTAAAATAAAACCTGAAATAAGGACTTACTTCAGCAGTTGTGGATTCACAAACACCAGAAAATCATGTACCAACTTCAGTGCCACAGATTTCAGAAGCTTTCCAGCACAGGTTTGAAACAAAGCAATAATTAACCAGTGTTTAGCATAGTAATCTTTGGATTGTTCTCCAGCAATCACCACTTTCTTGGGCTTTTTCTCCTTCTCTTCCTAAGTTCAAAGCAAAATTTAGTATCAAACATCTGCTTATCTCAGTCCTCCAACCAGACCACCTATTCAGAACCAATCTTATTGTCACCAGGCTCTCTAAAATTGAGATACAGCAGATAGTGGAAAAATTCATGTGCTAAATTTCTCCCATTTCCACCATTGCTGTTTTTCAGAAATAAAATGTAAGACTTCCCACAAAGTAGTAATATTTACCAGGACTAATGCATCTTGACTCTGGGCCTTGCTCAAGCCATTTGTCAGGTCGGTGGCTGCTAACCGCTGTTTCTTCTTCCGATGCCAAATCTCTAGTTTTCGTTGAGCCTTTCTGACCCCAGCCTTCATACTCTTCTCAAATGTGCAAAAAACCTGTTGTGTCTTCTCTGAATCCCTCAAATCCCAGAGGTCGTCAATCTCTAGTGGTTTCCGATATCCCTTTACCACCATACTGAAAGGTATAGCAAATTCTATCAGAGTGTGAAATCCAGACATCCTGCTTACTCTGTACAGCTTTAACAATGAAATGTGAGGCACAAGGGATGTCAATCCTGAGCAGTAATAAGAGTCTAACCACTTTCCATTTTGTTCAAGTTCTGTATCCACATCTCCACTATGACCATACAACTGCTAAGAGTTTGAGAAATGTTGTATTGTTCTTTGCTCTTCACTGTAATCACAATATAGCCAATCTATGGCAGCATCCATATTCACCCCCTTGTCCCTGTATCCACGGGTAACATTGTAATGACACGAACTGCCCAGCATCTCAGATTAAAACATACACGCTAATGGCTATTGTTGTTGACACTCCCCTGTCTTTTTCCAAGTAGAACTGCGTACCTGTTATACCAATGGAAAGTGATGGAACTCAGGAAAGAGGCTGTGATCTCGGGGTTCTGTGAAATAAGGGAGGCACAACTTACAAAGTTAAACATTTAGGGACCAAAGTGATGATGCAGTCTGATCTTCCAAACAAGGATTTCAGTCCCTCCCACCCTACAATGCATGAAGTGGGTGCTATGGCAAACTGCAATTAAGGCTCCAGTAGAACTGGTAGGTGGAAAGATCCCTATCCTACTGGGAAGCTGTCTGAAAGCAGGTATCCTCCCTAGGATGCCCATGACTATTCCCTACCTTGACAATTACTCTGCAAATTGAAACATTTGACTAATGACTCTCACTTTCTTTGCAGCTTCCTTCATTTCAGGAGCAACGTCAGAAATAACTGAAATAGACAGTAAGAGGAGTTGAAGTCCATAGGACCCAAGGAAGAAGCTGAAACGTGGTACATCTGTAATGGCACCCTGCAAGAAAGGAAAGCATATGGGAATTATGAGTGGAAGGGCCAAAAAATAAAATTGCCTTAATCTTTCCTGGTAACTAGAGAACCCGGAAGAACCCTCCCATGTGTGGTTTTTTCCCCCACAGATGATATTCCCCCAATCTCTACCCCTGCAGCATTATGTGGGATAAGTTACAATTGATAGATGGCTAGCTAAACTGAATGTAGTATTTTTATTTATTTGCAGTGGAAACATGGCTAAAGGAAAAACTACTACCAAGAGGCTTTATTACCCCATTTCTCTTTCTCTCTCTTTAGCTTCTCACCTGCACTGCTTGCCGGATAAGTGTCTGGAGCTGAAATATACCACTGATCAAAGAAAAGTTGAGGAAAAGGAAAAGAATCCCCGAATCTCTGCACACAGTGAAACGACAGCTATCATGGATCAGCAAAACAAGTATCTGTAGTGTAGAGAAAAGCAGAGAGATTTTAAGTCTAAATTGGCTTAAGTACTTCAGAAGAAAATAGTGCTCCATAAAATAGTTCTATCAAGGGGACATGGAACTTTTTAATGTAGAGCAGTTTGAAGATTAACTTTCTTAGGTAACAAAACATACTCCATTGAGACAAGGTCAGCAGTACAATGCCTGGTTACTTGCATTTAATAGAAATTGCAGGGGGGATGAAGCAAAGGGCAAGTTGATGAAGTTAATGAAGGGAAAAAATATTTATTTTAAATATATTCAGGGCAAACCCCAAAGTTGTCATTTGATCTACTGATGAAACTATAACAGAATAACAGTTGGGAGGGAAATTGGAGATCTTCTAATCCAAACCCCCTGCTCAAGTAGGAGACCTGGCTTATACCATTTCAGACAAGTGGTTGTTTAACCTCTTTTTTAAAACCTCCAGTGATGGAGCATCCACAACTTCTGAAGGCAAGCCATTCCAGTGATTAATAGTTTTAACTGTCCAGAAATTTCTCCTTATTTCTAGGTTGGTTCTCTCCTTGATTAATTTCCATCCCTTGCTATATGAAAGAAGCATCTTCAATGAAATCTGACATATCTGTTCTAAATCAGAGTTTCTTTTTGTTAAACAACATAAAAAGAAAATGACCAGACCCAGAAAACTGATTGAGAATCTTACATGCAATACTTGAGGGGGAAGTCTTTTAATTTCCTCCCCTGCCTCTCTAATGCAGTCCCATCTAACCTCACGCCGTTAAATGTGCTGAATCAACAATTCCATCACAAGCGGCCACACTGGGGAACATTGGCCTAAAGAAAATCCACTCTCTAAGCTTTTAATGAGTACTAGTCTAAACAATGGGAATAGATTGGTGCTGAATTTATGTTTGGAGTCAGCAATTTGGAGAGAAAACTAAATAAAGAATGCTTTTGACTTGATACAGAGTAAAATGTATGGCAAGAAGTGACTCTCACCCAAGTGACGGAATAGAGTACAGGATTTGTATACTGGACTGCAGGTCTTCCATTACTAAAGATGGGGTACTGTAGGTTCCCTGAGTTTTCAACAATGGTAAAAACCACTTCAGTTAATGCCATCAGTAAGAGCAGCGAAGTCAGCACCTGATTAGAAGAGAGAGTGACAGAAATTACTCATCATTGCTGCCCATTAGGTTTCAAAGGAACAAATGTTCAAAAAGTTTACAAAGCATCAAGGAGAAGAAACCACAAATATAAAGGAAAAGTGAAAGACTGCAATGTATTGAGCTTGATCCTTGCTAAGGCAATGTTCCAGCAGCTGACAACAAAACAGTAGTGGTTTGCAACTGTATTTTTGGAGATTTTTTTTAAATAAAAAAACCTCCTCATCTAACCTACAGTCCTAAGAATTCATAGAGGGCTAAGAAATCCAATACTAACTAGGTCCAACCCTGTATAGGTTTTCTGAGATAAGCTAGAAATCTGCTAAATGGAACCAAAGCTGGACAGCTGGTACAACCCCAAAAAGTATTTTATGACCCAATGGTTTTTCAAGCAGTACCTCAATGTGTCTTGACCACTGGAGAATTAATTAGCATATCTATATAACACATTCTGTAATTGCTCCCACAAAAACTCCAACATGATTGGAGATGCATTAGAGTAAGTTCACTAACATCCTCAAGAGACTTATCTATTAAATATATAGAGATGCTGGTCAACATTTACCCAACATGACACCTGGTTGGAGAAAACTAACACAATCTATACATCAAACTAAGCTACAATGTGATTTTATCTGGTTGTGCCTTAATATTGCATGAAACCAGCCAAGTAGGCTTTAGTCAACCAGTCAGTCTGTTTTGTTTCAACTATAAATTATAACTAACAATACAACGCCTAGGTAAAGTGGTAGTCAAACATAATTAAAATAAAACTTAAACAGCTTAATACAGCAACTGTGTAAATATGTACTTATTTGTTGAGTCTGAGCATCAATATATTAAACCATAAAAACCCAACACAAAATAAAGCAAAATGGGATCCACTTGTTCTGTACAAAAACACATCCACCAAGAGGCTTATCCTATCTTAACCCAAGGTCTGGGAGAACATCTACTGTAGGTCTTCAAGGCTTTATGGAATGCCAACAGAGTAGGAATCATACAAATCTCATACCAGAGAGCAGGTACTACCACAAGAGAGAAGGTATACTTGTTGCATTCCAATAGATAGCAATGTTTGGTACAGAAGAATATGAATTGCACTAATTCTGCTGGCATATGCCAGCCAGGCAAAAACTATGAGAGATAGGCAGTCCTCATATAACCTGACCCTATGCCATCTAAGGCTTTATAGGGGATGACTAGAACCTTGAATCACACCTAAAAGCACAGTGGCAACCAGTGCAGCTTGTGAAATAGAGGTGTCACACCACTGCCTGCACTGCTGCTTTATGGACCAATAGAAGCTTCTGAGTGATTTTCAAGGGAAGCCCCATAGAAGAACATTGCAGTAGTGAAGTGACTAGAGTGTAAGTGACTATGTGAAGGGTCTCCCATCAAGGAAGAAGTCTACCTGGCACACCAGATGTGGCAATATAGAAACAGACAGAACAGAAACATTCTGTTTAGTTATAGGTTCAAGTAAAGCTTGTCAACTTCTATAATATTGTCTCCTTAGCTAAAGTACTATCTATATATACTATTAAAACAGTCATGTCTGTCTGGGTGTAAATTTTAACTGGTGAAATGGTACCCCCTAGGGCAACAAGATACCTCAAATGTGCTAATTTACAGAATGCAAATGACTCCCGTGGAATTGAAATTTTGCAATTATACAAAATGTCATCAAACATTTCCTGTAGTTAGTTCCTGGTGTTTGACTATGCTATACATTTTGATATGAGCTATTTTCAAAGCAGATACATCTCTGAATATCTCTCTGAATTTTTAAGAACTTTTTCTGTGAAGGCATTACATTAAAAGCTCCGAAACAGTTGAAGGCATTGAGAAATCTGGTAAGGAAGTTATCTCTGAAATGATGGGTTGTTTAGTTAAATATTAAATTTTATGGGAATCAGGTTAAAAGATTTCCTCTTTAAAACAGGTCCAAATTTTTTAGCAAACAACAAATATAATAACGTGGGAAGTTAGTGGAATTCATACTTAGCTTTTTAAGACCAGGATTTGAGATGCTTTACTCAAAGAAATCTTTCTAAAGCCACACAAAATAACTGTGCGTGTCGAGCCCAGAGGGCTTGACAATAACATTGCCCCTTGAAATGCACTTAATAAAGCTGAAGTTGAATATAAGTTTAACACAGCCAGTTCTTACAAAGGCAGTTCCTTGGCTTCAGTTTTAAGAAATGTCATTGGTTATTAGGAATAGCAACTTTTTAAAAACCCATGTAACTTTTGCTTTGGGGTATTTTCTTGCAATTAGGTTTTATTTCATCAGACATAGCTAAGCAATCAACTGCTTCATGAACTGTGTAAATAAGCGTTCACAAAAAACCACTCAAAAATATGTAACTACAGCTGTGTTCCATAACAATCAAGATTGTTACAAAAGTAAATTAAGTTAATCCATGGAACAAGACATTTCAACAGTACATACATTGTAGTAACATTTTTGGGAAAAATGAACACTTAACATTAATTAGCAAATTAAAAAATGCTGATTCAAGGACAATTTTAGATATATTATATCTAGATATTTTTTTATTGTTTTTCTTCCTCTTTTTTAGCTACATTTAAGTGTATATTTCACATACACCCATACACGTATAGTACATCAATTAACTATATAGAACATGGGCACGTTTTAAAATAAGAACAATAATTTCATACTATACAGCAGTGGTGGCGAACCTATGGCACGGGTGCCAGAGGCGGCACTCAAAGCCCTCTCTGTGGGCACGCGTGCCGTCACCCCAGTCCTAGGCCTTCAGCTGGGTTTTATAAAACCTTTTCTCTTTAGGCCTCCGCTGCCATGTGCAAAAAAAAAAGCTTCAATCAATCAGTCAATTTCAACTTCTCGCGGGGGAAAAAAAAGATCTTGCAAAGTTGGAATTGATTGATTGAACTTTTTAGTCCCACCCAGTCTGCCGTTACCACTGCAGCCACGCCCACCCAATTGGCCACACCCTTCCAATTGGCCACACCCAGCCAATGGGCCACACCCACCCGGCATCCGACGATGCATAAGTGGGTTTTGGGTTGCAGTTTGGGCACTCGGTCTCTAAAAGGTTCGTCATCACTGCTATATAGGAACACAATATAAGGTTAAGGGGAAATATAACATTTTAAGTGATCATCTGGAATTTTCTCACATCCCTAACACCTTATCTATTTCAAGAGAATGAAGGTACCTTTTGAGTTGAGTATCCTTCTACTGTTTGACAACCCCTGAGAAAGGACTTTCTCTCTCACCTGCTTCATGAGATACAGCCTGGTGACTGATGATTTCTTCAGCTTAGATTTACACATGGGAAGAAGCTTCCATGGGCCAAAGAGCCAAAGGAAGCCCAGAGGGATCCAGACAAGAACTGTCTGTTCAAAACAAAGTGGCAGATCGGCATCATTGTGGTCCAGGAAAGAGGAATTCTGGGAGTAACAAGAAAGAAACAAAAGCAATTTATGCGGAAGGCTCACTTTGAAATGGATTGTTAATATCTAAAAAGTCTGTCTCTTACACTTCTTCCCAAGGTTCCATTGTGTCTTTGCTCTGCCTATAAATACAGCAATTACTGCAGTTTAAATGTTGCTAAACATATAAGCCAATAGCAATATGGTATATCTCAAGGATTTATAACTTAGCATAATGTAGCAAAACACACTATTTGCATTAATATCCACTTCTTACATCTTTTCATTATTTTTCATCCGTTCACATCCTCTTTCATTCAACCTATATATACAACAGTATGATTGAATTGTAATTAAGTTCATTTTAGAAGGTAAGACTGGAAAACGCTGTTTAAAGAATTTGCATTTTTCTACACACGATAGCTTAACACCACTATTGATACTGGATTGTATTTATTTGCCAAGTAGCAGCTAATAGCAGTTCTCATTCTTATTTATCAATTACACATTATTACACAATTATTATTTGCTGTAGTAATTTGCAGTAAATGACAATATTTAAATATCATTAAAACTACTGAAAAACATTTGTCAAGTCCCACTGATTTTAACTGAGCTTAAATTCAGTAACTTTAGATTGGACCCCTATCCATTATGCTTAACTCCTACTCAAAGGAGCAGAGTTGCTCTGTCAGAGATCATGCTATGGAATTATTTTGGTGCTTTACACTATGGTGTAGGATGTGTGTCCCAAGTTGACCAGTTTTTGTTATCATACATATGCTTTGCCTTGCTATATAAACAGTCAATGCAGCTTAAAATAATAACATATGTGCCTGCTGTAATAATTTATGGTCTATATAGTAATGTGAGTGGCTTGTGATCATCACTAGGAATAATCATATGTGAATTACAGTATTTTTCCAAGGACTATTAGGGCAAGTCTGCTATTTTTATGGCATTTTTTAAAATAAAGTTCAGTCTCTCTCCCCACCCACCAAAAATTGTTACTTTGCTCACAATATGTAATGCCCCCACCCACCATTGGATCAGGAAGATTATGATCCATCCAATATGATTGTTAGTTGGATTGCCTTGTTAGAATGTTTATCTTACTTTTTATTATAATTTATATCTTATGGCAGTTTATTTTTGTTATATCTGTTCTTTAATTTATTAAATAAATTATATTTGAGTACCAGATCACCTTGATAATCTAAACCAGGGGTTCCCAACCAGGGATGTGAGATGATATTCCAGGGGGTGTGAAAACTTGGGTTTTCAAAATTATAGTGTATATGCATAATTTGTTGCCATTATTTTGAGCTTTTGTAAGGGGTGCAAGAATATATCAGAAGCGTTCTAGGGGTACAGGATATAGAAAACGTTGGGAACCGCTGATCTAAACCATAAAATGAAAACAAACAAACAAAAAGCCAAGTGTTAGACTTTTTTCTCTGAGTGTTAGGATAGGGTGAGATTGGCATGGTGATGAACATATGATGGGCTGAATGGGAAAGTTTAGCTGTGGTGCCAGGTCTTTTTTGTTGTTGCTTTTTTAATATTATGATTGATATATATTGTTTTTATTCAGGGTTGTAAACTGCCAGGAGTTTGTTTTAACTTGGGAGGCAATATAAATGAGAAAGAAAGGAAGGAAGGAAGGAAGGAAGGAAGGAAGGAAGGAAGGAAGGAAGGAAGGAAGGAAGGAAGGAAGGAAGGAAGGAAGGAAGGAAGGAAGGAAGGAAGGAAGGAAGGAAATTATTAAGTTCCCAGTTTATTTTGGAGATATCTTTTATTTTGAATATGTTTTATATTTTGATTATTTTTAAGGAACATTGTACTTAGATAAAAATTATCCTCCTTAAAATAAACAAAATATAAAACAAAGTATTTCCAGAGTCACAATCCTATAAACTCTAGTATATCTTTTCCCTTAGATATGATTTAGACATGGTTGTGATTGTCTTCCCCAATTCATCATATGGAGGACTATCGCTGCTTTTGGATTGCTGCTGGCTACAGCAAATGTTGCTATCTTCTGCCCATTTACATGCCATCATGCCTGGGGTTGGGGCAAAGTTGTCAAAGTTATCAGATCAGCCTTGTCCTTAGAGCTCCTTTCAGGATCCAGTTCAGGTTATCAGACGAGTAAACAAATGTCCATTCTTCTTCATTACAGTTGATCATAATTTGGCTCTACTGATTAGGCCAGATTATGTGCAATCAACAGTGCAAACACCTTGAATCGAAATGTCCATGACTGATGGATATTTTGACATACACTACAGTGACCATTTTAAGTTACAACAGCACAGGAAAAAGTGACTTATGACTGTTTTTCACACTTACGACCATTGCAACATCCCCATGATCACATGATTAAAATTCAGATGCTTGACAACTGAGATGTATTTATGGTGGTTGCAGTGTCCGGGGGTCATGTGATCACCTTTTGTGACCTTCTGACAAACAAGGTGAAGCCAGGTTCACTTAACGTGTCACTAACTTAACTACTGCAGTGATTCACTTAATCACTCAGGCGTGAAAGGTTGTAAAATGGGGGAAAACTCACTTAACAACCGTCTTCCTTAGCAATGAAAATTTTGGGTTCAATTGTGGTTGTAAATCAAGGACTAACTGTATACCTAGCTCTGTCTTAAAAATACTGGGGCAGTTTTATGCTACTCCCAGTGCGGTAAATCTGAAAACTTTTTTTTTTTTTTACTTAGTCTGGGCTTGTAAAATTGAACTATAAATCGGGGCGATTACAAAATACAGAAGAGGTGTTCTCTTCCCAAAATTCATGAAACTAAGATTTACATGAGACAATCAGAATTATTCATTCATTTATGTATACTACCTCAGTCACAAAAGTAAGTCAGAGCAGCTTACATAATAATCATGTGCTATATCACTTCAGAATTTAAAAGGAAAGGAACATATCTAAACACCACCCCATTCAAAAACTATTTAGGAAACTAGCACATTTTGGACAAAGTTAAGCAAAACTTGCTTTTCTGACATGCTTTCTTTACAAGAGTGGGTTGTTGGTTTTTTTTGGTGGAATCAGTCAACCATCCAATCTGTATTACTGCTCACAAAGATCATCCATTTTTTTCTTCTTTGCGAAATAAAAAAGAATTTTAATTTTAATAAAAGTCTAAAGAATTTATCTTCTTTAGAATGAACGTATTTATAAGTGATTGTTACAATGTGCATTGAAAACAATGTAAACATTTTCCTGTAACTAAGTTCTGAAGCTCCCACCAATAAGACAATGTAAATTAACACCAGTAAGGTCTATGTTTCAAAATGGAAATAGAGTGAGTTTGTTAATGCCTCATTTGCAATCTTATGTACACATGAGTAACTATCCCAAAACACAAATTAAATTGCTTTGCCGTTATCAAACGTCTTCTTAGAATTCATGACAATTACATTCAGTGTAATCCTGACTAACAGATGAGCAAATAACTCTGAGAGGAGTTGCCACTTACCCAGAAAACAGAGCCACAATAATGTTCCAAAGCTTCTGCTGCCATGGCTAATGTTCTCTCCTCCAGCTGTTGCCAAACTATTCTGTCTAACTCAGAGAGCCAGGGCAAAAGTCCCAAGGGTTCAACAAAGCAGTATTAGGAACCTGATAAAATGCCATTAATCTTTAACCCTATAATCAAACTCAGGAACTATGGAAAAGAGCTGGCTGGCTTTTTCCTAAGACTTGGGAGATACAAATTAATAGTTTTGGCATTAATTTGTCTTAGCACCTAAACACTACACTAAACTCACTCTTTCTCTACTTACTCTCTTCCTCAATTTATTTCTAACAAACAATGGTGACGCCAATTTCGAATAACTTCAGAAACCGTTGAAAAAACTAAACACAGTGAAAAGGTTTTTCTTTCATATAAAATAACTAAACCCAGAGCAAATGATGATTTAATTCTAAGGAAAGTGTTAGGTGCCCACAGGATGGGGAATTTATATCCCTTGGTTAATTAGTTAAATAAATATCAACGTATTTTTGAACAATGTCTACACTACCGACTGGCATTCGGTTTGAGGGCGAGATATAATCAGTAACTGGCTGTCCTGTGGCATGTTATAATTCCTTTGAGAATTTTCTAACAATGCAAAGCCACTGTTCTTTTCCCCACGTGCTTCTGTTTGAAGGGAAGGGAAAGAGTTAATTTTATGCAGCAAACAGTCTATCATCATCTTTTTACAGTGCGGTGGCTTGCACAATATAACATTTGGCTCAAAGTCTCCTGAACTCTTGCAACCTTAGTTAAATGAAAACGCAATTATTTTTTGAACTTTTCTGACTTTGTTTTGCTCCACGTATTCGTCTTGCACAACATTAATACTTCCACATACTATTTGTATGATGTGTTTTATACAATTACGCTATGACATTAGTATTTGGGCATCTGCCCAAGCTGACGCTTCATTTCTAAACCCAACTGATCAAATTATATTAACGGGATGTGCATATGAAGCCAGTGGACTAACATCAATAAACCTTCAAAAAAAAAAAATGTCTTGTCCTATTTAAAAGTTCAACAGGACTTGTGACCAGGTTATTTGACAGGACCATCTCCTATATTACCAACCTGATACAATCATTGTATCAAACCCTCTTTCAGTTTCCCTAGCTAAATGAGTCAAACCTAGTGGCAACAGGAAAGTGATAAGTGCTCAATGATAAGTCCTCGCTTATGGAATGATCCTCCTAGAGTTCCTTGCTTGGCATACGTTGTGATCTTTACAGAAGCAAGAAAAGCTATTTTTGTTCTCTTGGACATTTCATTTTTTTAGTTCACGAACCACTTCGATTAACTTTAATTTTTTAAAATATTTTTATACTACGTAGATAATTCAGATAGCTCTTGAATGATGACCGTTAGTTCAGAGAATGTTCAAAATTATGAGTATTGTACTGAACAAAGAGACTTACAACTTGACGTTCTGGCTGTTGCAGCTCCCCATGGTCACATGAACAAAATTTGGGTGCTTGGAAACCAGTTTGCACTTACGAAGGTCTTGCTATTGTAGACCTTCTCTGCCAACAAGCAAGTCAATGGGGAAGCCAGCAGAGAAGGACCCAAGCCACTTGGGTAATTCTCCCCCTCACCCAGCCTTTCTTCACTCACATGCACTGCAACCTTCTTCCCCCTCTTCTCTCTCTCATTCCAATGCCCTTGTTCCCCAGCTCCCTGCACTCAAACACACATATGAACTCACCAATGCTCTTTGTCCTCAGCTTCCCTGCACTCACACAGGCACGCACTCACCAGCACCCCCATTTCTTGGCTTCCTTGCATTCACACAGACACATACACATAACCATTGCTCCCCTTCCCTAGGCCTCTCTACACTTGCACACATGCATACCTGCACCCCACAGTCCTCTTTCCCCAGCCTCACTGAGCTCACACTGCACTGCAGCAGCCCTCCCCCAACTTGCCTACAGCCTACCCAGGCCTCCCAGGGCCTTCCCCCCCACCCCACCCCTGAGGTATCCTTATGCTCCTTATCTTGGACTCCCTCCACTTTCCACTTAATGGTCTGCATGTTTTGGGGTTATGACAACTAGGTTTGCCTGGGTTGCTGTTGCAAAGCGATGTGGTCACAAGACATCACACTTTATGAATGCATCGCTTAGTGACAGCAATCCCAGTCCCAATTACCATCATAACTCAGGGACTACTTGTATAGCTATTGGAAGGTTTACCCTGGTAACTAACAATTCAAGGGAAAATGGAGGCAAACTTTATTTTAAAAAAAAAAGTTTGCACTCTTCCCAGAGTCATGTTTGAATAGAGATGCTGACTCCTACTAATTTCTTCATCATTTGTAACAGATGAAATCAATGTGCCTATGAGTTTGGATATGGCAAAGGTTGCACTGCTAGCTCTTGCCTTACTGATCTTTTGCTATACTTCCCAAAGGATGGGACATAGTTAAAATACCTATCAACCTTTTCTTTCTTGTCCTATGTGAAAGGATCCAGTTTGTGGAAACATCTAAGCCAGGGGTCCTCAACCCCCAGTCCGTGGACCGGTACTGGGCCACGGCATGCCAGCAACCAGGCCACACAAACAAGCAAAGCCCCATCTGCCAGATGCAGGCAACACACTAAACCACGCCCCCCTCTGGTCCATGGAAAAACCTCTCTCCACGTAACTGGTTCCTGGTGCCAAAAAGGTTGGGGATCTCTGATTTAAGCCCTTTAAATTGTCACAACCTGGAATCAGTTACAAGACACTGCACTTTTTTCCAAACTGTTCTTGCTCCTTTAGCCATCCATTCTCTAAATGAAAAGAATTACCTCTCATCACTGCTAAATTCCATTTCAGTCCTGTATTCTACAGAAACAGAGATCTGGATTTTCATCAAAGTGAACTAAGAAGGGAAGCATAAGATACTCACCTCTCTTGCCTACCTGGAATAAACACCAAAGTCCCTACCCAGGCTGGACAACACAAGGCATGAAGAAGGGCTACAGTGATGAAAATCAGCTTCAGCATTTATTTGAAAAGTAAAAGTCTAAAAGAGTTTCACCTAGTGATGAATGCCTCTTTAGCTAGTGTCATGCCTCCCTAGAGTTTGCTCCTCATAGACAAATGATTTCACACTATTTAATGAAAAGACTCCTTGAATGAAGACTAGGAAATGGGAAGAGGAGAAAAACACACACCAGCATCTTCATTGGACTGATCCAAACACTACTGAAATGTCTATAGTTAAGGAATGGGGAAGTCAGAGGATAGTAGGTCATCTTGTCCCATTGCCTCTTCTTATTCTACAGGACGTTCTTTGCAATGGCATTCAGGGTCCTCACTTTAGTCACATCTGCCACCATGCTAGAATGCTCAGGTGTGGAGAGGGAGGTTCCCATCTTAACACTGGAGTTCCTAAAAGAAAAGCAACAAGTCATTAAATGCTATCTAAAAAGTACAAGTAGTCCTTGGGATACAGTTATTTAACAACTGTTTGAAGTTACAACATCCACTCCAAAGCTACATATGACCCCCTTTTGCCCTTTCAACTGATCACAGGTTGTGTATTATCTGTAATTCAGTACCAATTTAATGTAAGCATCCCCTTGCCTCACTTCCTCCCCCCCATCCCACCCCACTGGAACCCTGCAGCACTTGGGCCCGTTCCCCCGCTTGGGGGCAGAACAAGATGGCGGTTGTAGGACAAACCACTCTGTCTGGCTGCCTTAACAATCCTGAGGCACTAGGTGCTCTATTTAATGACCTGCATGTTCATTTAACGACTGCACTGGGGGAGCAGGTTTGGGGTTTAATTAAGTGAGATCTTCAACTGCAATCACAACGTATGACCATATGATTATAATGGGCAGATCTTCATTACGGTCGTATCTCAGGGACCCCCTGAACCCAGAAAAAAATCAGAAAAAGAACAACTTCAAACCTATTTTTACTTGATCAATATACGTGTAACAGAACACCATCTGTTGCCACTTTACTGAAATACTGAAATGCCAGTGACTGCTTCAGTAGACACTTCCTTGTTACAGTTAAGAAGTGAGGGACTACAGATGAATCTTATTGTAATGCAACCAATGCTTTTATTCAGTTTACAAACTGTAAAATTACATTAAGTAGTATAAACAAGATTAAGGCAGGGAAGATCTTGCTCTATTACCTGAACTTCATGCCTGAGTTCTTGGCTGAGCGAGCTGAGCAGTGAAACTCAGAAGCACCAGAGCCTTCTAAAATTCTTTGTAGGTTTCTCTCTGTTATGCCTCCCCCTGTTGGAGATAATCCATCTCTGAGTCACAAATGAGAAGTTAAGCATTCACAAACAAAGTCAATTTTCTCTAGATATTAAGAGGGAATATCTGCTCTGAATCTGAGATTATTTCTCAAAAACACTTTAGCTTTTAATGTCAATGGATAGTGAACTTGCATCTCTTCAGCAAGTAAATCTGCTAGATAGTATTCCTCCTCAAGGACCAATCGCTGTTTTTCTTGATGGGATAGATAGAGTAGAATAGTGATACTTAATGCTTGAAATATTCATTACACCATATCTACCAAACATTAGAGAGGGGATAGAAATGAAGTCCAGTAGACTCTCATCCAAAAACAAATATAGTCTTATCAATATATTTTTGAACTTTACCCTGTATCAGCTAATCACACGCATAACAAACTTACCTGGTACAATAATGATCCTGTCCTTTGCCTACAAAGAAAAAAAAAGATTAGTAACCTTATTTGTAACAGAACATAGAACTCACATAGAATCCTCAGATATCAGACTGAGAGCTGGATGGCATTTTCTCTATTCTGAATTATCAGGGGGGGGGGAGGATAAATTATCAGCGGAATTACAAAATGGGAAAAATGAAAGCTCACCTGTTCTATCAGCCGCTTTATCAAGGGCAGCCCCTCCAAGGCAGAGCTGTCACAACCACTAGTTAGCACCCGTTCAAAACCTATGGATATCAGTGTTTCCATGGCTGTTACAGGATCACAGACCATGTCAAAAGCTGCAGGGGAATTAAAACTCTCCTGGTTAAGACTAATTACAATTGGTAAAATATTATCTCAGCTAAGTTTCTTTTTTTTTTTTTAAACAAGTTTTATTGGTTTTTTTCATTTTACAAACAAGTGCTTAAGAATCAACGTGGTGGCAGGGCAATCAATTGTCCACAAACAAAGTCATACTCATAAAGTTCAGATTAAATCATTAAAAAACCCCTCTCTTTTCCCTCTAGTAACATATTATATTCAAGTTAATATATTTCAATACAACTAAGTCAGTCATAACAATCCTCAATAACCTTTCATCTAAATAGATCCACAAATCCAAATCCTGTGTTAAGCTTAACTATTTCAATTGCTATATTCCATATTTCTAATCTAAATGCATAATTAACACTTCGGTGTCTCCCCATTGCCTTTTTCTTTAACATATTCAATAAACATGTATTAGTTTCTTCTTTTTTCTTATTCTTCTTCCATTACAAAGTAACTATCATTTCTGATAAAAAAAAATATTAGTTCAAAACAGAAAAGAAAAAAAAAGAAAAACAAAAAACAAAGACAAAACAAAAAAAGGAAAAAAGAAGATACCTTTCTACTTCTATTATACTTTATAATCTATCAATCAATCCCTCAATATCTGTATCAAATTCCTTTAACCTCCTCCCAAAATTACTACATCCAAAACATATTAATACATAGACAAACATCTTGTTATTAAATTCAAACCTTTAATTAATTTTTATTCAATCTAACATCTTATTTAACTGTCTTAAGCCATAAATCAGCTAATATCTCAGCTAAGTTTCTAATTTCAAATAGTATCAATCTTAGTTCTAGAATAAGAAATACATGATTAGTAAACAACACTTAACAAATGTATTTGGAAAGGGAAAAAATCTAGAGTAAAATATAATATTTTATAAGGTTCAAAAGACAGAGGTGGGCCTGCTCTCCTAAATTTTAAATTTTATTACTATGTTAGCTGTTTGTTATGGATAATCAAATGGATAACATTACTGAGCAGCACGATGTCAATACATGACATTGACATTTAAAAGATGATACATAACTTTGCTCATAATAAATAAAATAAATAAATAAATAAATAACTGCAAAAATAAATATATAATTAACGTAGAGAGTTTTGTGGTGATTTTCAATTATTTCTTAGTATGTCTTGTTTTATATATTCAATTATTTAATGAGATAATTAATTTTAAATGTTATGACAAACATAAATTTTCTGGGGGTTTTATTGATATTTTATTTTCCATTTTTATTTTATGGACTCATTTATTTTATTCCTTAAATGTTTTATTTTTTTTTAATGTTCAAAAGAAAAAATAACTGCATTGGAACAGATCAGTATAAAAAAAAATCTGCTAATAAGAAAAGTCTAACCATTCAGACAACATAAATATATTTGTAATAAATAAATAAAAAGCAGGATATTAATCATGAATCTGGAGCTCAAAGCAAGGCTGAAATCTCTAGGAGGAAGCAGCGACACCTCAGACCACATTCTCACAAACTGCAGCTGGCATGTCACAATGTCTGGGCCTGCATTTTTCCAATTCTATTTCTAAGCTATAAAACATACCTCTGTGGAAGGTGACTGGCAAAGGGCGAGAAGCAGCTGGAAAGGAAAGACTTCTAATCAGTAACATTCTTATGCTGAGGTGAAAACATGTTTTTTTCTTACAAAAGACTTTTCATAAAAAGGCATTTTGTATAATAATTCAGCCATGTTACCTTGAGACTATTTCTACAATCTAATCTTGTCTACGAAGACATCTTTTCAAAGCATCTTTTCACATACCTTTTGTATATGAAATCCTTTACAACTATTATGCTCATGTACCTACAGAAAAGCAATCTTAGAATCAAAGAAGCATCCGTGAGTGAGAGGGGCAATCTCTAAATTTGATATATAAATAAATAATTCTACTCTTCTCCTTAGACAACATGTCAGTAAGTCATTCACAGAATTAAATGACCATTTGTTTTAATGCTTTGAGTAAGTTTGGAACTAAACACCTGAAGGATTGTCTTTTACAGTAGATATACTAATTTTTTTAACACAAAGGCTTCTTTGTATCAGTCCAATTTTGTGATATTCCCCCTAAAGAACTGCTATATTATTTTACTATATGACATATTTTCATTTCAAATATTTTATTAATTTATCAAAATATAAAATATAAACTACAAATAAAAATGAACATAAGGGGAAAATAAGGGAGGAAAAGGGGAAGAGAGAAAAGTGTAGGTTAAGGGGGGGAAAGAAAAAGAAAAGCATTTGACTCCTTTTGGTGCAGTAGAAAAAACTCAACTTTTTACTTTTAT